AATCTCCAGATACCCCAACATATTCACAATAAACGCACCATGTGCTCCCAACACCATCCCTACTGTTGATACTAGGAATCTTGCATGAACTTAAGGTTGATACAAAGAACCCAGAACCCTGCATGACCATAATTTGGGTACTGCCCCCACCCCTCAGTAACAGTTGGAAAATAAGTATAATATGGTTATATATAGCCCTTAATAGTACCCCTAATATAGACTGTTACTGGGTGGGGGCAGTACCCGAACCATAATATACGAGAGGACCATAATTCCGCCGTATGTAGGTAGAATCCCGATGCAGTTGCGAGCCCGGAGCTACGCTTCGTCAGGTGTTGGCCGGTGATTGCCTAAGGCCCAACCTGCTTGGAGGTCCGTTGTACTTATAACCTTCTTAGTAACTGTAGTTATAACCCTATTATATCTAGGGTAACTCTAGTTATGGGACTTATAATTAGGTTTTAACTACACTTACTAATTAGGTTATCTGTAAAACGGGTCTCCAAGTAGCCTCTTTCTTGATGACTTGAGGTGGCAACGGCCTGCTGTGTTCTGGGCGACCACCCTAGGGTTTAGGGTTTAGGGTTGCACCATCCTGCTCCTCACTCGGCTTGCACTCGACTGGCACTGCATCCCTGGGTGAATTCTGAGACTGGGAGGTTTCCTCTCCAGCCCCTGAGCTTGGAGCCGTCCATTCCTAGGTGAGGTCTCCAGAGGCTCCAAACCATCCCCAGCTTCGGGTCTTGGCCTGCCGACCACAAGCCAAGAGTCTCGGAAGGAAGTCCAGGTCTGAACGTGCTACCGTTAGAAGTGGTGGAGGGCCTGCACCCCACCAATTGGGTAGTGCTTTTTTGGTGGTTGAACCTAGTAAGATAATATTCCGTATAAAGAATACTATACCCCAAAAGGACGATATAATCTTACTCTATATTGGGTACCATAGTACCCCCAAATAAAATACTGCTCAATTGGGGCTCTGCCTGGCCATTGCTGACACAGCTCTCGAAGTACAAAGCTCACACTGGTTTCATGATTCTGTACCCTGGTTGCTTAGAGAATGACAGTAGCATGTAAAGTTTCCATCATTTGTCATGTACCCCGATGTAATTCCTATAACACCCGTGTATCGACCTTTATAATCCCTAAACAATCCCTGTATTCTCATTGAATAGTCTCTTTATACCCCTAGATATACAAAAGAGTTGAACTTGAGGGAAGGGGGTTACTACTATTCGGATGGCTACTACGTGCTATTTTATTAGCATTATTACCCTTTTACTACTACCTGGACCCCAAAAATAGGCAAAATCATAGCCCAAATCCCACCAAAACGGCCCAGAAGGCTATCATTCTACATACTTTTGGGGTTCAGGTATTATTATAGGTATTTGGGAGGTCAAGGTATGAATTAAGTAGGAGGCCCTAGACTCTATGAGTCAATGATGCAGGCATAATGGCCGGGGCTGCTGCGGACCTAGCAGAGAAGGACTTGAGCGCATTCAGATGGTTTGGGGCCAAATCCTGAACCCTAAGCCCTAAGCCGTCTTACTGTCCCTAAAGTCTAGGGACATTAAGACGGCTTAGGGCTTAGGATTCAGGATTTGGAGCTTATAGAGTTTAAGATTTGGGGTTTAAGGTGCGTCAATCTGGCTGCGTTACAAGGCTAATGGGCATTTAGCATGAAAGAGGAAGGTGCTGAGTTTGGGATTACATGGCACTTATCTCTAGATTCAAACACTGCAGCTCAAAGCGAATCCCCGAATCCAATATTCCGACACCTGAATCTCTCTGTTCTTTGTGGGGCTTGCTCGGGAGAAAACAGCTCATCACATCCTTCCGTTGCCACTGAAACCGAAGGCCTAGCACGCCCATCAAAGTCCCCTGCAAATCCCAAAGCCCTAAACCTTAATCCCTGAATCCCAAACTCCCTAAACCACATCCCCTTACTCCTAAATCCCCAAACCCTAATCCCTAAATCCTAAATCCCAAACCTTCAATCCCAAACTCCCTAAACCCTTGTCTGCCTGAAGCCTATAAAAAACACTGATCCCTAAACCCTACTGGCCCATGGGACTCAGTAAGTATTAATAACTGGGATTATAGCCCAGTCTATAATTGGGCGTAACCCCCAGAAGCCCATTTAGGCGGATTCTAAGTAGGGTTATAAGCCCAGTTATAAAGTGGTTCCTAAATCCCATAGGCCTCCAAGTAAACCCTAAACTCTAAACCCTAAATCCCTAAACCCTAAACCCTAAACCCTAAATCCCAAACCCTTAACCCTAAACCCTAAACCCTTAACCATGCCCGGTCCTTGCGGAAGGAGTGAACCAAAAGATGGAGCTCCACCCGCAAGCTGAGAAGGATCCAATCTTCCCAGGAGAACTGGCTGCATAGCCTGGTTTAGGGTTTAGGGTTTAGGGTTTGGGGTTGGAGTTTAGTCTAAACTCCTAGTATCCCCCTTAATAACCCTTATAGTAGTCCCCTATATAATCCCCTAACCCCCTTTTAAGGAGTTTAGACTATGGCTCAGTTGGGGTTGGAGGTTTAAGGTTTGGGGTGTGGGGAATCTTGGGTTTAGGGTTTTGGGGCTTGGGTTTGGGGAATCTAGGGTTTGGGGTTTTGGGGCTTGGGAGGCTTAGGGTTTGGGGTTTGGGGATTCTAGGGTTTAGGGTTTTGCGGCTTGGGGAGTTCAGGGTTTAGGATTTGGAGCTAGTGTTTGGGGAGTTCACGCTTTAGGGTGTTGGGTCTAGGTTTTGGCTTGGGATCCTTCCCGGAGAACAGGCTGCATAGCCTGAGACGGGACATTTAGGGCGCAGGGCCGAGGCTTTAAGGTCTAGGGTTCAGGATTAGGATTTAGGGCTTGACCATGGCACGAAACGTACGAAGCATCGCGAACGTCAACCTTCAGCCCTACAAGAAGTTTCTCAAACTAGGGGGACCCCAACATAGACCACAAAGATACGATGTTCCTAGGTCAACCCTGAATCCTAAATCCAAAGCCCTAGGCCTTAAGCTCTAAACCCCAAACCCTGAACCGTAAGCCTTAAACCCTTATCCACTACAGTCGACGGTACAGGCGTTGGGTCTGGGGATTCAGGGTTTTAAGTCCATGTTTCAAGAGCCCATTATCCAGACCATCGGTCTTGGGGAGGCACGGCACGTGTTTATTGCTTTTTGTTTAGGGTTTAGGG